TTAATTTTTAACCTTTAAAAATATGATTTAATTTAATTTCAATCATGCACTTCTTGATACATGATATGGCATTCCTGCTGTTTTTTAAAGTAAATCAGATCCTTGACTTTATCATATTCATTAAAAAGAGAAGTTCAGCACGTTCGCGTACCACACTTACGCTTCAGCACGTAGTAACTGAGCAAGTGTAGTCTGAGGAATCTCTATCGTGCGCATAACGCATGCATGTGGTAAAGTTCAGAACCATGCTTACGTAAATGCGCGAGATGATACGTTATTGTGCTAAATAGAAAGATTTTGCATTTTCAGATAGCATACACGTTCGTAAGCTCGATGCAGAACTTCAGTTAATCAATAGAACTTGAGCAGACTTTATGTTCGGGATGCTAAGTTTACACCGAAGAGCCATTACATTATGACCATCCTTCATCTATAACAATGGGCGCAGGTTTTCATTGTTTCTCACCCAGAAACAATGTTTTCGTGGGGCACATTAGGACCCATAATCCTCATAGAACAATCCCTGACATCTGTAAGCTACTTGAGCATAGTTGCAGACCAGGTTCACCCATTCATGGCAACAGTTTTTCCTGCGGGGGATGGTGTTTACCACCAGGATAATGCACCATGTCATAATGGTCGAATAGTCGAGGAACATTTCAGTGACTTTCAAGTCATGTCTTGGCCCCCAAATTCACCTGACCTTAATCAATAGAGCATTTGTGGTCCTACTTGGAAAACCAAATTCGTGCTGCCACGCTACCCCCTCGCAATGTGAGGGAATTGCAGGACCAGTTGGTGAGCGCTTGGTGCCAGATACCTCAGACTACCTACCAGCACCTTGTGGAATCAATGCCACGACGGGTGCTAGTAGTTTTGAGGGCTAAGGGTGGTACTACATGTTATTAGCAGGGTGGTCATAATGTAATGGCTCTTCGGTGTAAGTGCACAATATAAAAAGTTGGCACTTTCACGTAGCATCCCGCATGTTCATGCTTGTTGGCCCTACTCAAACACTGCGGAGAATCGATATTGTTTTGTAGTATCTGCGTTAAACACAAGTTTTATACTTGAAGGTACAATGAAGCGCAAAATCTCTCCATTATGTTCCCTTAAAAATAATTTTTAGTCGAAGAATGATATTTTTACGTAGCTTACAAACCATAGGAGTTCCAGCATCATTGTTTGACACAGACTTAGCTACCATGTTAAAGTAGTACATTTCTATATTTTTCACCCAACTTTTCCAAGAAAATTCCTTGAGTCTGGAATAAAAACTGGCATGGAGTCGGCTTCATATTTCAGGAAATCCATCCAATTTCCATTTAAGCAATGTGGTCTGCTCCGTGAATAAGGCGAACTCATCTCCCTTTCATGCCGCTGTGGTATTCAATTTGTGGTCATGATTTATGAGACCCGTCCGGATATACCACTCCCGGATCGAAGGATGAATGGCACCCATATATTCACTCTCAGGGAATTGCTTTTAGCCCTCCATTCGGGGATTTCGGAATGGAACTCCCGAATTTCATTAAAGTCTGGTTTCATCCAGTTTTTCCTGATTCACAAAACCCTTTGTTTCAAAATTAATTTTGAAAGTGTGCCCTTGTTTAAAGAAATATATTTCACAATAACAGGTTCTTATTTAGATTTGACTGTTAAACTTGGTTATTAGTTCCACTAATATTCTATTTTATAGCGGGAACAAGTCGATTCCGAAACCTGTCCCATCCTTTTTTATTTTGAATGAGTACTTTTTACTTATTTAAAAATATAAGATTTTTAATGACGCAGAATCATAAATTTTTTTGCCTTGATTATAAAATTTAAAATATATAATTACACAAAATCTTAAAGAAAAAGATATAATAAATTATGTAAAGGCAAAGAGAATTCAATGGCTAAGACACCTTGAGAGAATGGAGGAAAACAGAGGCACTAAGAAGATATTTAAGGGGCGATGCCAGGGTCAAAGGAAAAGAGGAAGGCCGGTCAAGAGATGGTTTGACGAGGTGGATAAAGACCTTAAGACTCTGAAAGTCCGAAACTGGAAACAAAGAGCTAGAGACAAACGACTTTGGAGGAAAATTGCTAGTGAGGCCATCATGGGCTGTAATAGCCAGGGAGTTAGTTAGTTAGTTTAATTACACAAATTCACCAAAAATTTGGTTTGCTATTAAATAAAGTATCGTCACTTGGTTATGTTATAATGATAAGCCACTCTCTTTCCAAAGGTGACATTTTTCATCAAACTATTCCTTATTATGATTTTCAGATAAGTGCTTTGTAAGTAAAAGTTACTATAAGGTTTGTTGGAATCTGTGCTTAAATATCACAATAAATTCGGTTTTTAGTTACAATCCATTCTGCCTTATTTGATTTAGAAAACACGAATATACAACATGAATTAGAATCCATTTAATTTTCAATGCTAAAGTTTCAAGAGGTTTGTTAATGTTAGAAGTAAGGTTGAAATCGTCAAAAAATAGTGTCAAACCAATTCCACTATAACGTGTAATAATTTTCAAGCTTGAAATGTTATTGCAAAAACATTTTGTGCGTAGTTTTTGCATTCGATTGCAGCAGAAAAATCCTCTGAATTTTACAGTATCGCTTGGTTCTAAAAAGAATCTTTCGTCTCTGGGCTTCGTAAAGTACTAAAAAATTTCAAAATGGGGAAATTACATTAAAAAAAATCCTTATCAAAATTGTTTTTATTTTTCACTCTCTTTGGATAAGTAATGTGTACTATTAAACTCAGTATTAAATAATTACGATGATTATTAATAATTAATTTAATTTGCTAATATTTTTGATATCATAAATATTTTGAACCTATATATTATTCAAGTATATATTGATACAATCAAAACTGAATTCAAGAATCCATAACGAAAATAATAAAATAAATTGTTCATTTAATGTCTGCCACAAATCAAACGTAATGTACTCAATTTAAATTTATACTTATTATCGTATAATTTTGTGTTTCATATACCTCTGTCGATAATTAAAAATCCCTAAAATTAGTGTGTAAATCCCTAAAATTCATTGATTTAATTTAGTTTTTGCATTTTAAGTCTCCACTTACTATTAAAAATCCCTAAAAATGTGAAAATACCTAAAATTAATTGATTTGGTGCAGTTGTTGTATTTTATCTTTCTCGAATAATGATTAAAAATTCTTAAAATTAATGTGTAAATTATTAAATTAATTAATTTAATATAGTTTTTCTATTTATATTTCTTTTTTGATGTTTCAAATTAGTGCGCTAAAACTAATGTATAGGATTAGTATTTTTTATCCCTCTTTTGATAGTTAAAATTTCAACGTCCAAATATTCTATATATTGTGCAATAGTTTGCATTAAATCTATATTACTTTGTAAAATCTTCTGGTTTTTTTTTCTCTCTTATATAACAGCTATAATGCAATATAGTAAAAGGGCATATTATTACATTTTCTTATTTTCGCGATGCTAAAGAATATCAAAACTTGTTCCCTCTTTACTTCTTTAATTCTAAGGGGATTTGTTTTTTATTAAATCCTTCATCATCTCTTAGTAAATCGCTCCTAGCTCTGAAACTCATCCATTGAAAATGAGCCCTTATGATCGACGGTCAACACAACTGCCGAAAAGCATCATGGGATCGCCCGCAACAGCACAAAAACTCCCAGCTAACGAAGTGGCTAGCAGCCATGAAAAAGAAAGAAAGAAAAAGGAAGAAAAGTAGGGTTATAAAAAATGGAAAGATTCTCTTTTTCCCCATTCGGGAAGTAGCGAGAACAGTTGGTCATTTCTTTTCATGATACTGTCCACTACAAACCTTCGGACAATGGGGAGCCAAAGATCGGACCTTTTTGCTCTTTCTATAGTTCCAGGAAAATAGAGGAAGCCTCTTTCACAGACGTATAAAACGAAAAAATGACCAGCTGACCGTTTTATGACTGCAAGGGAGGGAATTGGTGGAGGGAAAGTTCTTCCCATAATTCCCCATCTTTTCCCCCTTTTTCTTTTATAAATCGCTCAGATAAAATTTCGGAAAATGCGTATTTCTCTTGCATTGAAAAAGATTCTTGCCAATCACAAAGTAAAATTCGTATTTTTTTTTTTTAAGTTAAACTTAAAGTAGCCTTTTTTTCCCTTAATTTTGTCAGGTACTTCGTTTTGCATATTCTATGAAACACTATTTAAAATGTTGTTTACTAATGTCCAAGTGAAGCATTCATATTTTGCATAAAAAGTGACCCTTTGAATTTGCATAATTTTTAACTTATTGTTATAGAATAATTTACAGCCAATCATTATATACCTTTTTCCTGATTTACTTTATCCATCTTGAAATATCTTTCATGCAAAACTTTTTCATTACATACTTTATTCATCTTGATATATCTTTTTGATACACAGAAAAATAATACTTTCAAATCAAAAAAATTTCAAAATTTTCGAGAAATTGATTTTCTAAATGGGGGATTTTATAAATAGTTTTCAAATATTTATCTTTGAAATCTTGTTGTTTAATGAAATAACGCATATTCTTTAATAAAATAAGCTGAACTAACTCTGTTTGAGAGCTTAAATGACAGTAGTTTTGACGTTTTTAAAGTAATTTATATGCATATTGAATACATGCATATATGAATATATATATGAAATATTTCATTTTAGTTGAAAATTTGTAGTTGCTAGTAGATTTAAATAAGCTTTTCTTTGATTTCTTTTATTGGTTTTTCCTATTTCTTTCCTTTTTTTAAACCTTTCTTTTTTTTAAAAAGAAGTTAATAACTAATAAATTTAAATTGGTTTTCTTAAATTTAATTTTATACTTGAAAAATAAGTAATTTCTAATTGAAATTGATTGTTGAATTGATAAATTTTTCAAAACGATTGGAGTATATTTCATTTTTCGTCTCGATTTTTATTGTATGTAAGTCATTGCAGTTAGACTAATTTTAATATTTATTGATCTTTATTGATTTTTTTTTTTCATTTTAGGTTTATTAATGCTAGAAGACGAATTGTACAGCCCATGATCGATCAATCCAACAGAGCAGGTAAGTCATCCTCACTTTACGAGCTTTAACTGAGACCCCTAAAAAATTTCTCATATAATAATTATTTACTTTTAAATTTAATCACATTTTTTGATTAATTTTAAGTAATTATTACAAAATATTTCACACATATTTCATTATTAAGTACAGTACGTAGTAACTAAGCTAATAGGCATATTGAAAGTCGACTAAATTCAGTAAATGAACTTGATTAAAGTAAAACTAATATAGTTTTATTTTAACAATATCTGTTAAATTTAGTACGTTAATTTGTAACTATTGAGTTCATAAGCGTTTTATATCTGAACTTAAAGTATTCAATAAATTAATTTTGCTACAAAATGTATACTTTTTTTTAAAGTAAATAATCAATTAGTTAGTACAAAATTAGAAAATATTCAATAAGTGAACGAGAAAATCATCTACTTTAAAATTGGTAAATCAATCATAAGTGAATTAGTAAACAATTTGATGCAAAGTACGTTTTTTTTTGTAATTAAATAGTGAATAATAAATAAATAATAAATTAAAATGTGATGAAAGATTTGTCCAAATAAATACATTAATTCGCAAGTAATAATTAATAAACTAACAAGCATTTAAAATAAATAAATTAATGTAATAAATTAATTTAAAGTGTAAATAAATATTTTAAATAAAGAAATTATAAATAAGATTAGTAAAAATTTATAACAAGTGATCAGTAAAATATTTTAAAAGTAATTTTTAACTTTTAATACATTAAATAATAACTTTTAATTAATTAGTATTTTGAATCTGAGCTAAGTTGATTTCATGAAATCTATTGGTACAAAATTTATCCTTTTTTTTGTGGGTGAATTAATAAATTCTTTTGTACAATATTAGCTAATCTTCCATAAATGAAATAGTACTCATTTGATGCAAAATTAATATTTATTCGACAAATAAAAGAGAAAATATTCTATTTAAAAATATAAACAAGTTAATCAATTAATGCACAACTAAAGTTTAGCATATTTTTCTGAAATTTACTTTCTTCTTGTACGTAATGAAATACGTACGTAATGGCTTTCAAAAACTTTCTATATCACTACGCGTTTTGAAGGAAATTGTTTTCTCTGCAGTTCAAGGAAAATAGTTTTCATCCGGAAGAAAAACTCTTCTGTAAAAGTGTTTTCACTACTGTTCACTTAACTATGCAGGGAAATGGAAGTTCTACCTCAAATTGGTGTTTTTGCCGACCCGCTTAATGAAGTGAAAACAATAAATTTATTTTATCGATTAATTTGACTAATATTTAAATCTACGCATCGATACAAGCAATAAGCAAAAACAAATGTCGGTTAATACATTTTTTTTTTACAAAATCGTTACAAATACTCAAAAAAATCTTTAAAAAATATATACTGAAATAAAAGTGCATACTTTCAATTATTATTATTATCATTATTTCTGTTAATATTTTTTTTTGGAAGAATAAATTATAAAATACTGAAACTTCGATTATGTATTTCTTCCCTTTTCGGCTTTTATTCTAGAACATTTCAAGATTATTTTTCCATTTCTTTTTAGAACATACCCTAATAATTATTATTGTGGAACTTTTCATAATTCCGTTTTAAAAAATGGTTTCGAATTTTAAAGTTAAAATTATTTTTAAAAAAGTTAGCTATTTTCATCGTTAAAACAATTTTTATCAGCCATATTTCGTATAGAACATCTTCAAACCATGAAAATATAATTCCCTTAAGAAAATTTTAAGCTTCAAATGCGATATAATAGTTACATTCTTTAATTTTTTTAAACCTAAAATTAAGAACCTCCTAATTTTAACAATTACCAATAAATAATTAATAATTTTTTGACCATCCTCACTTGGGGAAAAAATGTTCGTAGTTCAATACATTGAGGTAATTTATTTTTAACATCCTTCAAAATTACAATTTATAAATGCACATTTTTTCATCAGTACATAAAGCTCTTAAGTAGGTTAGAATGGTCAACTCCACTATATGAATTCCTCCACCAGTATTTAGTTAGAAGGAAAGTTTTTCAAAATGTTCGATTTAGGAAAACACACTTTAATGGAAAATATACACCTTAAAAGCAATCGTGCTTAACCCCCCCCGTCCCCATCCATCATTGCCTACAATCCATGCTTAATACATTCGAGATTTTTCAATCGTACCTCACAAAAGAAACAAAGAACTTCACTCCTGCCCCCTTATCATACCACCAAAGTGAAAAAATTATTATGAATGAGATTTTTTGCCCATTTTATCTCAAAATACTAGACTAAAGTTAAAAAGATCGCTGTATTTTTTTTCCCCAATCCTGGGTAAAGATTGCATTTAATGGTGGAAAGACTCTAGAAAGCTGGAAACCAGAAAACTGAGATCCAGTTCTTCTACCCCCTTTTTTTTTCTCGTATCACTCTCATTAGAAAACGCATCAATCATCCTGCCGGATCCGGGACAGCTCCAGGGGAAAGAAGTGTCCTGGCCCCCTTTATTTTTTTTATATCGTTCTTTGTATAGATTCAGAATGAGAAATTTAGGCTTAGAAAAGCTAGGAAAAAGAATGCTCTTTTGAGATTTTTTTTTTTTTTTTTTTTTTTTTTTTTTTTTTTTTTTTTTNTTTTTTTTTTTAGTTCTATTGGCTGTACCAGGGACTGTGTTCAAATTCTAATCTAAATTTCTTGAACTAAGGTTTTATCAACTATTGCAAGAAACTCTTAAAGTGATAGATCAATTTTAGATTGAAATTGCATTAGTTCTATTTTTTTATGAACTTCAAGTTAATAGCTTTCCTGCGGCAAGAAAAAAATTGGTTACCTCTCTGTATGAAAAAGCGCGTTGCAAGGAATGTTCAGTATAATTTTATCTAAATCCGAAACTCTTGAATGGTTTAGTCGTATTAAATCGCGTTAAACCACTCTTAATTTTCATTAATGCTTTATTTACTATGAAAAAAATCTTCCTGAATAGGTTATTCTTCCTTGTATCTTAAGAATTATTAAACAGGAAACTTGTAATAAAGTGAAAATCAAATAATAATTATGATAATAATAAAAAAATAGAAAAAGTAACAGAACTTTAATGAATCCTTATATTCTACACAGTTTCGTCAACAAAAACAGAAGGAACTTCTAGAACAAAATTGACTTTTAAAAAAAATAATTTAATGAATAATAATAATAATAAATGAAACTGTCAGAAACAATCTTAACTACAAAAACATACAGTATTTTCGGAAAAAAGTAATGTCTGCAAAACTTTCAAAACAACCATAACTAAATGCATGATTTTACAGAACTTAAACAAAATCTAGAATTTCGCACAGAATTTCTAATCAATCATATTACATAATTTCTTTTACAATTACAGCAAAAGCCTATTCACTAAATAAAAAATTTTAAAATGTCTTTTTATAAATGTTTTCTTAAACAGTTTGCAGAAAGTTTATTAAGTTATTTGATTAAGTTTTAGTTAAGATTAAAATGCAAGAATTTTTTCTGTAGTTAATATTACGGAAATAAATAAATAAACAAAACTACAGCTTCTTTAGGGGCATGATTGCAGAAAGTATTAGACACAGCCTTATTAAACGTTAGAACTGCAATAAACCATTATCTGATCAGTCAGGACTACAAAAAGTCTTGTAAAGCTATCAAAACTACAAAAGACCTTTACCTTCTAAACAGCCCGTACTAGAGAGTGAATTGTAGTTTCCGTAACTGATTGTTTCACACAGAATTATTTTTTATATTTTTTATAATATAAAAATTATCGCTAGTAGTTCTAAATTTTTTTTTGCTGTTTTATCTGACAGCTTTCATGCCTAACAGGATTTTTAACCATATTATTCATTAGCAATGTAATTTATTAAATACAAAATTTCAAAACTTTCCCTGAAGGATTCTTAGGCCATAAGACTAAATTTGATATTTGTGCCTGTTCAAATACGATTACCTACTTTAAATTCGATTATTTTTCTGCCCGTCCTAATACTTTATCCATTTTGCTTTCAGCAATAACTCTTGTCTCTGTCGCATAAATGCAAATAGATGGAAACAGACTCATTAAATAGCTTCCTCCAACCTAAAAATAATAGCTTCTTACTTATTCATTTATCCCTCTTTTAGCTGGCAACGGCTGGCAAAAAGAGAGTGTTTTTGCAATTTCCCCCTTTTATCCAGAGCGCGTACTTGCCTCTGAACATTGACAGCTCCATGATGGATGCTTTATCAATCCCCTAAGCGTGCACACAGCCATAGAGAAGGAATATTCTTTTTTAGAAAAAGAACTTTCTTTGCCCCTAAACTTTTATCTGTTTTATTGTAGAAATTGATGAATGAGCCACTTATCATTATTGGAAAGCTCTCTTTTTCGATTTGTATTAAGTTGTTCCACGTTTTTTGGCGTGTTTTCCACACCACTGCTCACTTCTGTATTTGCCAAACCATTTAGGGCTTCTATTACCAAAATTGTGGGTTATTCGATTTTTTTTTCTTTCATGTGTTCATTCGATTCATGGAATAATATAAAAATCAATCGTTTGTAACAATTCGTGATATTATTATTAGATTTGAATTATATTCCCCCCCCCCAAAAAAGGCTTTAATTTGCTTCACATTCTAGTTTAATTTGTTCCATTGTCAGTTAATTGAGGAGACACTCAAAATAAAGAGATTGATGTAACAAGCATACACTATTATTGAATCATAATAATTCGAATTTGAGGAATTATTGCGAGGCTAAGATAAAAAAAATATGTGTGCAAAATGAACTTTTATATACTTGATTACACAATGCTATGATTCAAGCTTACAGAAACATGATTCAATTTTACCCTTTGAAGCAGAATGTTTATTAAATATTCTTTTCATTATTTTGTATTAATTTTGGACAAAATAAGTGAAATATATTACATTTAGCATTTTAATGGTTCATCAGTATGAATAGCAGTATAAAACACGGGTGTCTTTTGCTGCGTTAAAAATTAAATCTTCCAAGCACAACTCATTTCCTAAACAATAATTGTTCAAATTTGCCTTTATGTGCAGTTATTCAAATCTAATAGAAACAATTATTCATCATTTAAATTTCTACACGATAAATTTTTGAATATGAATGGAAAAAAAAATTACTTTAAATTTTATAATGTAGTACAAATATAATTCCAATAATCTAACAGATAATTTTAGTAACTATTAGATTGCTTTTTTTTATAATTAAAAAACATCAAAATATATTTTTACTTGTAATTAGAGCATCAGAAAAAATATATGAAAGGGACACCGGTTTTCCATTTGCATCGAAGAGTTTATATATATATATATATATATATATATATATAATCATGAATCTATACAAAGTTAGGGTTGAAAGAGCAGATATGAGTTCTAAGTGCTTAGGAAAACACTTTTTATACTAATAAGATCAGTCTTAAGAAAATAATATTTTATCAGATTAAAACTTTCCTCTAAAACTGATTTGCATTGAGTTATATCTCTTGTTTCTATAATTTATGTTTATATTATTATGTATTATTATTTTGTTGAATATTGTATTGTTTTTTGTTCTTTTTTTCTATTCTGAAAAAAATTTACAGCTTTCGATACGCAGCTCCACATCCATCAGGCCCATATATGGGCATCAATATTCAGTTTATTTTGTTTTTATTTTACAACCATTTGAACGGATTTTGTTTTGTTTCTAGTCGCTAGGGTCATTCCCTGGCATTTAATTGCATTATGGTTTTGTTTTTCTAAAGTCCTTTTCTTTTTTATTTGTTCCGTTAGGAGGAGCTGGTGCTGCGTATGGACCAGAAAGTGCAGGAATGGGTTATATGATGGACGGAGGCCAACAGATGCATATTAGACCACCAGGTCAGAGACAAACACCCTTGTCTAATTAATCGACTAACCCTTCTGAAGGGGGCATATACCGTTCTCTGCTTCAAAAATTAAAAATGCGTCGATTTTCTTGAGAATAATAACAATATCAATATTTTTCATTTTATTATTTATTTTATTTTATTTATTTATTTTATGAATAACTTTGGTGAGATTCGTAATAATAACTGAATACCGGAACAAAAGATATTTGAATTGGAAGAAATTATAAGCCTTAAAATATGATATCAGCGACTTACATTTTCAAAATACAATTTTATGATGTTTAAAAAAATCATATGTTTTTTAAAAAAATGATTAGCCACTATTGTATTTTGAAGAATATAATTTTAAAAGCATGGTAGTTGCTGTACATATTTTAACTATATAATTTTGAAAATTACTATCGATTTTTTGAAATGTTTATTGAAAAATAATTCATAATACTACAAAAGGAAAACCACTTGGAAAAAAAAGTTTTTTTTTTTTCCTGAATGGTTATTGCTTTAAATGACAAAAACACAGCACCAGGAGGTCAGGATACCATGGCAGGAACTTTTCGTCCACAAATTTTTTTTTTTTTTTAACCTCCATAACTTATTTGAAGAATAGAAAAAGCGAGTTCAGACAGACCTGGAGTAAGCGATGAAGTTTCGAATACTGTTACGAAAGTTTTGAAATATCAATATGAAAATAAATTATTGGAAGAGTACTTAGGATTACTCAATGGTGAATAGTTTCAATGGTTTGCTTGCATTTTGACATTTTGATTTTTTTTCCCTTCAATATTTGACACTTCATAGCTTACTCCAGGTCTGTCTGAACTCGCTTTTTCTTTCTTTTAAATTTTAAATTAGTAATTGAGGTGAAAGAATTTGCAACGAAAAGTTTCTGCCTTGCTATAGTGTCCTCTTAAGTGAAAAATTAAAATTTCGGGAATACTTTTCAAAATTTTGCGAATTTAAAATTATTGTATCGATTAAAATACCTTAATAGTATCGAAGCAACGGAACAACATCAGGCAACTTTTATTTACATAATTTTTGTAGGTTTTCTTTTTTTGGTTAATTTATACCGTTTTGCGCCATGCTTTATTGATTATTATATTTTTTATTTTACAAAAATAAAAAAATAACAATTGCTTGAAGCTTAGAAACATATGTGCTCCCTCCATAAGAACTAACAAAATAGGGAGACTTCCTCTCTTCACCTCAATCACTTCTGGTCATATTCTTAACAGAGAAAATTATTCCTGGGAAATTATTAAATTATTTCTTCAAACCAATGACCTAAAGTCGCAGTGTTCTTCCACTTTATTGCTATTTTTAGTAATTTAATCAATACTGTCTGCCTATCACGAGATGAACTCTCAGTGTGGTTGCTTTCAGTTAGGGCGAAGGTTCATCTCGCGATTGACAGACAGTACTTACAATTTAATCAGTGTTTAAATGTGTATTCAGCAGTAGCATATTCAGTATTATAGGGTGTTCTGAAATGACCACTTTTAATATATAATTTTAGAATTTTTGATATAAATAAATGAAATATTAGTAGTTGGAAATCATTACGTAAGGTAGACAAAAAAATGCTATCGAAACATAAGGAATGACTACTGAAGAGGATGGGACTGAAAATATCAAAACCTACTTGATTGCAGGGGAAGCGGAGAGGAATGGAAGGTTATTATTCGAAGCACTTCTTAGCTTTCTTAAGGCAGTCGAATTGGTTTTGATGTTTAATCTCGCCTTCTTTATTAGTGATTCGACAAATTACGATATCGTTTTTTTAATCACTTAATTATTAATTTGAAACCCCTAATATGGATAATTTTTTTAATTTAATTTTTGGATTTTGATGCACCCAATAATTTAAATGATTAATTTTTAATATAGTGTTATTTTTGTTTTCAATTTCCAATAATCTGAAATGGAGCTCTAACTTAGAAAGCATTCAAATAATCAAGCGTGCTAACTGTTTTAAGAAATCACTCATTTTTTCAATAGATTTAGCAGAAGTCAACTGCAGTAAAGCTGCTTAGCAGTGGAATTTTAAATTTTATTTTATTCTAGGGCTAAATAATTAGATGACAACTGAATAATTACGAAAGTTCGAAATTATGTCAGAATTTATTACTGAAAATTTAGAGTCTGTCACTGAAACAATGCTTTGTTGTTAGTTTAAAGTAGTACATAACAAAAGTAAAAACACAGTACTAAACAATATTTTCCAAATTTTTGTTGGAAACATAGTGCAGTACTGTTCATCTAACCAAAGAACTATTCCTGCCACAGACTCTGCTTTAGAAACAAGAAAAACACATTTCGGAAAGGGAAGCCTTTAAAATATATTTCGGCAAACCGAGTTAAAAACCTGGCCGGAATATTTACCGCTGCTTAAACTAGTTCAACCTTGTAACCATCATCACAGACAGTGCTCTAAACAAAATGAGAGGGAAGTTTTTTAGTTAACAGATAATGTATAGAATGTTATTATTGAAACTAATTTGTTCCATATTCTAAATGTCAAGGCTTTAATAAAATAATGTTTAATCCATTCTAAGTTATGTTCATCCATTTTAAGCTTTCTTAAAACCAGTATATGAAGATAAAAGAAATTAATGTCACTATACATTTAAGGCTACTCTTATATAAATTAAAGCAAGTGTTTCTTATTGGCCATCTATTAAGTTTTTAGACATTTACTAACATTTGTATTGATACTTTTCTCAAAGATCATTTTAAATCATTGTGCTATTACTCAACAATATTCGAACCATAATGAACTAGAAACATAAATATTCAAGTCGATAAATTGTGCACATAAATCAATTTTTAAGTCTCTTATAAAATTATTTAATGACTTAATGATAACTTCATTTGCTCACAATCGCGATCGGAAATTGTGTATGAAAAAAAATATTCCAATAAAAAATATCACGATGCTAATTTAGTGTAATATTGAAGCAATAAATAAGAATTATAAAATATTCACGCTCCTTCTACCACTTTTGACGATATTTTACCTCTCTTCCGTACTTACCTATTTTTAAAAATAGTATGACCACCACTGATAATAGCTTATATTAATAGATAGTAGCTAATATTTGAGCACTGTTAATAGATAACTGTTAGCGCTATTTATAGATAATAGCTAATATATGAGGACTACCACTGTTCATTCCAGAATTAACTTAAGAATTTTAAAAAAATAAAAACTTTTTGCATAAGCATGCTATATAGTCTTTTAAGTGTCCTCTTAAAAAAACTACACTTAAAGTAACCTTTATAGAGCTCTTAACACTGATAAAACATCGTCACAAATATCATAAAATACTATTATGTAAAGCATTCGATGGCCAAAAAGCATAATAGAGCAGCACTTTGCTGATTCAGTCTAAAAGCAACAATTCCTGTAACAAGACTCTCTAATTTAATTATGTAATCAAATTAGGGCATTAGTATGGTTTGCTTATGATTTCTTTTTCTTTCAGGTATGCAGAATCTGTCCTGTAGTGAAGGCGCTATGGGTATGGGTCATATGGGAGGCATGGGAGGTTACTCTCAAATGTCCCAATTACGCTCTCCTGTCCATTCCCAAGCTATGCTACTACCTGGACACCCCCATGCCATGATGATGGCTCATGGTCCCATGGGACATCCTGGACTACCACCCCAAGGATCACCTTACGACGCTTCCGGGGGTCACATTATGGACATCCACGCCAGTTAAGCACTTTATTCTCGAACATCCATGATTCTTCTTGTATCCATGATTGACCCTCTTCACATGAATGATGCTAAAACAATCCGTGTGGACTGTGGATAATTATTTACCTCTTTATTCAATAGCTCTCAATAATCTAGGGACTCAATATTTTTGAAAGGAGTTGCAAACTTCTGGAGGATACTTTAAAGAAGCTAAACATTTCTGAATATTCTGAGGAAGTTGCAAACTTCAGGATATTCAGAGCAAGTTTCTAGATATTCTGAATCAATTGCAAACTTCTGGGTTTTCCGAAAGCGTTGCAAACTTATGGATATTTCAAAGAAGCGATACACTTTTGGATATTCTCAAAGAAGTTGCAAATTTCGGTATATTCTGAAGAGGCTGCACACTTCTGGATATTCTAAATCAATTGAAAACTTCTAAATGTTCTAAAGGAGTTGCAAACTTCTCTGCTACGGACACCAAGACTCATTTCAAGTACTCTGCTCACATTTTGATTATGTTCTAAGTTGATAAACTTTTATTATTTTGTTATTCTAAATGGTAACTCCCATTTCAAGTAACAATATTGAAAATCTGTCGATTGTTTGGAAAGTGTTACCTTTATAAATTTGATATATCTTTCCAAAAAATGTTGTCTTTGTAAATAGTATTTTGTCTGTTTAGAGGGAAATTAAATTGCTTTTTTTCCCCCTCTGATGATAGCTTGTTTGAGTTGTGATTGGAGCTTGTATTTTTCATTATTCACGAATAAAAGGGCATTATAATTACGTTCGAAATCATGGAACATAAAGATCCCCATCAACTCTTTATTGAAAACGATGCAATACTGCTTCTTTTTTTAATTTAAGAAAGAGTATAATTAAACATACAATGATGGATATTTAAAAGATATTGTTGTGTACATTTGGAAGAAAAAAATTGTAAAACGAAAGCGCTTTTTAGAAATTTAGATTTTTACGTTTCACGTGGGTTAAAACCCATTTTGTATTTGAAGATTCAAGTCGGAAATTTTGAAAAGGGAAACTGCCAGATGTTATTTATTTTCAGCGTCACAGCTACTTTTATTATTACTTTTTGTTGCTATATTAATAATATTTTGTTTAATCTTGCTTATTTTAACGATTATAAGAACAAGCTTTAAACTTAAAATAAACAAAACTGTAAAAATTAAAACGTAGTTTTAAATGGAGATATTGTTCCTTACAATATACGTTCATAATGCGATTATAATCGTTACACACACTGGCATGTAAATACTTACACCGTATGATACATGCGTATGTATACGTCATCAATACGTATGTACAAATTCACTAAATAGCATGGTCTTTCCCTTTTGCAATTTTTCTGATTTCTTTACTTGTTATATAAATATATATAAATATGCAAAGCAATTGCAATTTTTTTCCCTTGTTGAAAGCATGTCAATTTTTTAACCCACTCATATTTGTGGGTTTTCTAATTATTGTGTAATTTTTTTTTTCACAAAACTGTGACTGGGAAGTGGCATGTTCATTCCCTCCCACAGTTCTTGTTCTGTACAGATTACAGGTGGCAATGCATTGTATGTGAGGTAGTGTTGTAATACGCCATTTTATTGGCGGTTTGTTGTCAATAATTACAAAAAATGTATTAAATAAAGACATGTTCCCAAAATATTGCTCTTATTTTTCTTTAATTAACCTATAGTGATTACACACCTAATGATAAAATGTACACAAAGCACAGTATGTATATTTTGAACAGTTAGAAATAAAGCAGAATATTTATATGTATTTTAAAGATAGTTCTCAAAACGTGGATGCAAAATAAGGATCTCAATTTTAATTCATAGTAAATTTATCATTCTGTCTAGTTTCAGGAATCAATATAAATTGTAAATACTATTAGGGATAGAGTTAAAATATGGAAATCGACGCAAGAAACATACTTTTTTTTAGTAAATATGCAGTTTTTTTTTTAATTGGAATTGGATTTTTGGTATTCAAAATTTGAGAAGCAGTCACAATCGTAAAAATTTGCCTTTTATGTTTATTTTGATTTTCGCTCATTTTGCTATGCCTCTAAATTTTAAAATTACTATTTTTGCGAACCAAAAGAACTTTGCATACAGTTATAAAACTCGTTTTTTAATCTTTAAGCTTAATGATGACTAAAAATTTTTTGAATACCCAAGATATAATCATTTTAAAATCATTACGAAGTAATTTTCAAATACAAAATCCAATGTGTAGTATAGAGCAAAAAAGTCAAGTCATGGTCTTAAATTTCAATTTCTCGTTTCTCAAGAACTATTCGACCTATTTTTTTAAAAAAAATCACATTTTCCAAAAATTTTTGATAATTTTTAAAGCAAATGCGAGTGAAATCAGAGCACTAAGAACACAAAATGTATTTAAAATAGGTATATCACAAAGTAAAGAATGTGAAAATTAGTCAGGACGTAGAAAATGTAAAATAAATTTGGAAAGCGTTAAATACAAAATCAAAATGAAGGTTATAAAGTTAAATGAGAAACAAAATTCAAAAAGTTGAATACAAAATAAAATCAGAACACGTAAATTGTAAAGTCAAAACAAGCATAATATAAGCTTAGAATAAGTAAAATATAAGGTCTGAACAAGCAGAATTTAAAGTCAGAACAAGCAGAATGTAAGGTTAGAAAAAGCAAAATATAATGTCATGAGGAGCAGAATATAAGATCAAAACAAGCAGAATTTAGTCAGAACAAGCTAAAACCAACTATAGTCATAATGCTAAGTTAAAAATATTAAAATTCATGAATCAGGAACTTACAAAAGTAATTCTATAAAAAATCTTTCTGTTACTTCTGAATAATTATTTTTTTTAATCTATGCATATACAGTTCATATACTCAATTTCAGCGATTCCTAGAATCACTTTGCACTTTTTGACACAAGTATCACAAAATTGAAGATGGCTGGTAGTCTTGCTTGTTCCTACAAATCTCTTTCTATAGCGTTTCTAATTAGCTGAATTTTTTTTTCTAATAAAGGATAAGACAGAAATAAATAACTAAGTATTAATCAACACTACGAAATCAGTATCATCCCATACAAAACTGAACAGCATATACCGACACACACAATTATTTAAGCTAACATAATTCCAATACTTTTTTGTTTGTTATTTCTTGTCATTCCTTGAAACTATAAATATTTTGAATGGTAACCTTTAGATTACTTTCTTGTAAGTCATTTAGGATTATCTTAATGCTACTAAACTTATTGTTTTTCCGAGAATAATGCATTAAAAACGCGTCATTAACACATAGATTATTACAGAATCCTAATAAGTAAATTAAATAAATACTTTAAAAATTTTGTGAATATAATTTTCGGATGCTCAAATCTCAGAATAAAAATTCTTCTCTTGCGTTGTCTAAAGAAAGTTGAAACAAACTGAGTTATAAGTGGGGCTGCAGTGAAAAGTTAAAAAGCAGAACAAGATGTGCATGTTATATATATTTTTAGGATTTCATTTGAAAAAGAAAATCAGCATACATGCAAAGTTAGACTAAAATATGGAAGTATCCAATGAGCAAAAGAAGAGAGCTCGAAGTACCAAGTAATCCGAAAGAAACTACAAAAGCAATTCTGGGAGTTGGTGTGGGCAGCGAACAAAGAGTTCATTGAGAACATTTTTAAAGTATTTAAAAATGCATTACTTCCAAACCAAATTATCGATATAAATCTTTGAAATAACCTGTCTCATCTAATGACTTCTAAATAATTCTTCAGAAAAAAATAAATATGGCAGTTTTTTTTTATATATATTACCCTCTTCAAACAGTTCTCGTATCAGCGAATGATTTTTTTTTTCTTCACATTTTCCGTTATCTTTGTTTGACATCCGGGTTATTCTAAACTTTGACAAAGAGTGTTTGCAAACGCCCAACGATATCTTCTGTCAATATTTCAATTCCTCTTGAGAGGACAAGATGGAGATCTGGAACCTGACACCTGGGGATATCCAGTCCATCACCATCCGCAGGATAATCGCCATGCTCAAAGGATATATCTGCAGCTCACTCCTATCCTATCCCACTTATGCCCCTTCCCCACAAAAATGTTTTCCTCAAGCTTTACCATTTATTTGCTGGAATAATGATTTTATGTTCGGCAAATTTTATGTCTAAAACCACAATTCCTGTCTCATGGAAGATTCGTATTTTAAAACTTTGTTTTCTCCAGCTTTACCATTTATTCGCTGGAATAATAATTTTATGTTCGGCAAGTCTTATGTCTAAAACCACAATTCCTGTCTCATGGAAGATTCGCATTTTGAAACTTTGTTTTCCCCAGCTTTACCATTTATCTGCTGGAATAATGATTTTATGTTCGGCAAATTTTATGCCTAGAACCACAATTCCTGTTTCATGGAAGATTCGTATTTTGAAACTTTGTTTTCCCCAGCTTTACCATTTATTTGCTGGAATAATGATTTTATGTTCGGCAAATTTTATGTCTAAAACCACAATTCCTTACTCAAGGAAGATTCGTATTCTGAAACTTTGTTTTCCCCAGCTTTACCATTTATTTGCTGGAATAATGATTTTATGTTCGGCAAATTTTATGTCTAAAACCACAATTCCTGTCTCAAGGAAGATTCATATTTTGAAACCTTGTTGTGCTTGTTAAAGTACAACAATGTAACAGGTTACGCAAAATGAAAGTAAAGAACATTTTTGCTTTTTATTTTTTGATAATTCCATGACACTTTATTTTTATTTTAACAACGGCGATAAAATCAGCTCAATTCTACATTCAATGGATATGAAGTTGCAACGTTCTCTTTCATGCATTTGTAATAGTTTTGAATGAAACTCTGAAGACAAAGAAGTTTAGTCCAAAGGTCAGGTAAGACGGTAAGTTCAGCCTTTTGGGAATTTATTAAGTTTTTTGAGGTGCAATTGTAGAGAATATCGGTTTTTGAAGTTGCAAGAAGCATATGAAGTAGAAAAACCAAATCCCATCAAACCATCGTAAAGTGGTAAGTGGATTGTCAGATTTCAGTACATCTTGATTAGAATCAGATTAGATCTTGGACATTGATTAGAAAGTACATATTGAGAACGGATAAACAGATTTTGATAAAAAGAGTGCGTAAGCATCGAAAGGGATTTGTGATTAGCTTTTTTTATGAGATGGGGAAAGAAAAAAAACGAAATTGCTAAAATACTTACTTAATATTTGAATTACCTGCTAATTAATTTAACGCTGCATTTCAAAAAAGTTTTAAAATTAATCAATAATAATTAAAAATTATCTGACAATAATTAAAGAGTTTAATAGAACGATCGTTTGCAGAGAAGAATACATAACTTCAACTGATTATTGATACGGTCGAAAACAAATCTTTCTTTTGTCAAACGATTCCTAAAAAAAAAAAATAAACACAATTCTTGAAACCTGCAGGCGACAATTTCCTGAGAAACAGACAACTCTACTCGCGTGGAGAATAACGTGGTCACGTGAAATGTCGATCCATCAAATGAGCAAGTGAGTGACCGATTAGCTGCCGCCCATGGAACATGAAAATGGTGGTATTTTGTGGCCATGAAGAAGAAATGGAACAAGCACTTTTCTCAGTTGCCCATCAGTGGTCTTCATTCGCTTGTTTCTGCCACACAAATAACAATTGTAGTTAACTCAATAGCTGGGTAATTGAGTGGCAAACCCAACCCCTGATAATATGGTTTAGAGCCCAGATCAGCTATCAAAAGAATTTTTTTCTTTTATTTTGCTATTGTAAGAAAAATAATGGTAACGTATGAAAATCCATAACTTAAAAGGGCAAAGATGTATTTAAGTCTGAGAAGAATAATAGGCATATTATGTATGAAAATATGGTATGAAGTCGTGTATTTAACGAAAGTTTATTTATTAATCAATTACAGGCTTTTTTTCATTGCTTAATAAGCGAAAAATAAATGGAACAGTCATAAGAACTAATCACCATATTTACAGATAGTTAATTCTATAAACCTGTGGTTTCCGACCCATGGGACACGGCCCACGTGTGTGCTGCGGCAACGTGCGTCCACGGACGAGTCTCGAGCCCAGTACTTCACAGAACTACGACGCTTTTTCAGTTTTTTGGAAAATAAATATTGGAATAAACTGAATAATGAGAGTGATTTGGGGTTAAAACTATTCAGTTTCAATCCAAGCTGACAAATCTCTCGTGAACTGACAGTGTCAAAAATCCCATTAAGTTTTTATTATTATTTTTTTTTTAATCTGATTACTTGCTTTTTTAGTTTTCTTACAGTTTTGACAGCTATGTGAATACAATAAATTTATTTACTTTATAAAAATATTTTTAAATTCTTGCTGTGCAGTATATTTTACTAATGATGGAAATACTAATTAAAGTATTACGTATTGGCCATGTAAGATTAGCACGTTGATAGTTTTTACAAAATGAATCAACGCCAATTTGATCCACCTGCAGAAAACCCCTTACTATAAAGTGTATCTTAAACCAGATTCCGAATTGGAACTAGCCCATTGTGCAGCTCTAGTACGACGTAAGTGAACTACAGCAACAACCGAATTGGAAAATAAAAAGACGTCATGATTTTAATTGGGATTCATCTTTCACTTTTTGTGCAACACCACTCCGAAATCTTA